AGTATTGTTACGTAAAACTGAAACGCGATGCGCCAAAGAGAGTATGTATTATTAGTTTGCTATAAACTTTGGAAGCTACTATAACTGTTTGTTTACTATGAATTTCGCGCAAAGCTACACGAGGGCTATCTGCGCTAGCCATCCCTAATTTAGCAGTGTAAGGCTAGAGGGAAGGCAGCTAGTCATCACCACCCTCCGCCAACTCTTAGGCTACTCTTTTACCAACGAATAGTCGAATTAATCGCCACACTATAACGCCCCCACGGCTGAAAGGGCGAGCATGTTTGGTGTAATGAGGATTCGAACCCGCGACTTTATATTGTTTGTAAGTTTATGAAACTTTTGTTTATAAATCATTGTTTGTAATAACTATTTGTAATAACTGTTATTGTAAATTGTACTGTTGTGTGTATATTAAAACGTATTTGTGTTAAAAAGAAAACTGTGTATCATTCTTGTTGGCAAATATCATAAACTGACTATATATCGGCTTTTACTTAACTACTAAATTCAAAGTATAATTTAACTACTCAATTTCAGGCCATTTGAAATTATAATACGTAACAACGTTTATTATTTAGTTTACGAAACTGGAAATTGCATCTATAAAACGGCCAAGATACAGGGCTGAATAGACAATAAATAAAATCCTTTGTCCTACTTCAAGTACTTGTACTCATGTTGGAACTTGGAGTGAATAACCCCAACCGACTGATTTCTCGGTTAATAACAAAACTTAGCCACGATCTTAACATAAGCACGACAGTTATTTAAAATATAATAGATATTAAACACCATATCTAATCCTGAATAATTTTTAAAAACACGCATTATACGAAAACAGCATCTCCAATGAAATATATGTTCTTATTATTTAAATAAGGCCATCGCCTTCTCTGTCGTGTGACGGAATGCGTAATATTTACATGACTATAATTTTTTCGGGTTGTTCCAATGAACTATCAATGATATCCAACTACTAAATTGAAAATTAGTAACACTTACACTTTTTGCTTCTTCAATTGGTTTTTCCTTTGTAAATATAATCCACATGGACACATATGTTACATATAATTTTCTCTTCCGTCAACATACTCTACGCTTACATTAGGTTACAGGCCAAACACTAGAAACGAGGTCACGTTCGAAACAAAGGAAGAGGGTAGCACCTATTCGTCCCGCCATCTCTTTGTTACACGCCTCTAGTCACATGACCAATACAGTTCTTTCTCATTGGTGTACCTCTTGCCAGTATGGTTTTCATCGGAGAATTTTGGAGCCGAGATTATTTTTGAAAAGAAAAATTTGTTGACGTAAGAACAAGCGTTAGGAAAAATTGTGAACGTGGTTGATTATCCAGTAGTTTAACCTCGCATAAAGTAATTAAACTAATTTTTTTCGAGGAAATTAGAAAAATACTCTTGTATCATTAAGGCAATATCAGTTGATAAGTCTAGTTTTTCGTTAAAATTAATTTTTCTTAATAAAAAAAACAGTTTCCTTTGCATCCAACCCAATTCAATTTGTAGTTGTAACTTCTTAAGACTAAATAATGTGATTTTGCACCTCTCAAAACAAAGAGATGGCGGATTTCAAACCGCATCTGCTATTCACAGCCGATATTTGATTTTTAAGTAATGAAGCATTTATTCCAAATTACTCGAGGATGATAATGAATGACACTTGCTCAGAATTTTATGCAAAACTCCTGACCAACAACAAATTGCTCGAAAATCTTCACTCATCAGTGAGTGAGAGAGGTATCTGTATATATGACTAGGAGCAGTAATGTAAATAAAAAATACATTGTTTGTATTTTTCCCTAAGTAAGAAAAAGTAGGGGATCCCATTTCTTTTTATATGAAAATCTGGTCACTCTGGATAAGGTACCTTTCCTCAGTCATGCTGTTGAGTGGAGCCCTATTTAATTTTAAGTATCTTTCTAGAATATAATTAAAATAAAAGTGTGTGATGCAAGTTATGATAACCCAAATGCCTTGCCTCGCACTTACTATAATGAAAGGTAATTTGCTAAATAATTGTCTAACTTGCCAATTGATCCACGCACATATGCAGAGGGGTTTCAGCTGAACCCCCTATTTTGTGATGTAAAAAAGGTTATGCATATATGATTATATTTATACTGTTAATGTTATAGTGAAGCTGCTTATGCCATGGTAATTGCTGTTTAATGTTTGTGGATTTTATGTGAAAAGCCATGCAATTCTTTAAACAAAATTGCTTCCAGAGTTAATTTCGTAGCACCTATTTTATACAAATATTCTGGGGGGGGGCATGCCTACAGACTCTCCCATAGCATTAGAACGCTTTGTATGCTGATTGTGCCTTGCACAATATGAATATGTGTTGGCTTTTGATCTTGCAAATTAGAACCCTCCTTTCAAACATTCTGTGTACGGGCCTGTGATCCAAATCATTCTGTAAGTTAAATACACCTCAACATCTTCAATATAGTTAAGAAATTCCTAAGAGTTTAATGTTGTCAGCAAACTGGTTAATAATGTCCCTATTTGCAGAAATATTGAATATAACTTATAAGTCAAAATATGTTATCATTTCAATGTATAGGTCACTGGTTAGGCTTCATTTGGAGTATTGTGACTCCTTACTTTAAGGACAATGAACTGTTGAAAAGAGTTTAAAGGAAGACTACTAGAAATTAGAATGATACATGAGATGAAAGTTTATCACATGAAGACAGGTTAAGCTCTCAAAAGAAGAGTTGAAAGGGACCTGATTAATGTGTTCAAATTGAATAAGTGAATTGACAGTGGTGATGTATCATCCATTTTTTTATGTAGTATTAAGAATGGTAGGAAAAGGAAGCAGAAATATAAAATTTGGCAGTGTGGGAGTTATATTCATCATAGACAGATTTTACTTTCAGGGTGGTTGGCCTTTGGAATGGGTTGCTTTCAGATATGATAGATACAGTAAGTTTAAGGGAATGTTTAATAAATATTTAAATGATCAGGACTGGATTTGAGTGTGTTTTCTTTAAGCAAGTAGGACAACCTTAATGGGCCAATAGGCCCTTTGTTGTTTTTTAAATGCTATGTAATATCATTGATGTAAATAAGAAAAAGCAAAGTCTCAAGCATTGAATCATGAGGCATACCACAATACTAGTAACAAAAATCCAGTTTGACTAAATTTTATTATAAAAAAAATTACTTTTTTCTCATCAAGCTACTCTACAATCTAAAACATCAGTTTTTCTCCAACCTCCATTGATGTGACTTCCTTAGGTAATTTTTGTGGCACATTATCAAAAACTTAAAAATTGATTACAAGTCAAAAGAGGTAATTATAAAAAACACTAGGTAGGCTTCATTTGAAATACTGTGTACAGATTTGGTCTCTCCACTCAAGAAAGGATTTTGACTTATGGGAAAGGTTTTAAATAACATAAGATAATATTAAAGGACAACAAGAGACCCTTTGGTCCATCTAGGCCCTTCTGTTTATGACATTAAACACTAAAAACTTAAAGCCAGCCCTTATCATTCAAATGTTTATCAAGATTTCCCTTAAATGAACAACATGTACTACATCTGAAGGCAACACATTCCAAAGGCCAACAACCCTGTTTGTAAAATAAAGCTGTCTAAACTGATAATGACTCCTACCCTACCAAAATTTATATTATGTTCCCTAATCCTACTATTGTCATTACTGAATATGAAAAAAGATGAGACATCAACACTATCAACTTCCTTAACAATCTTAAACACCTTGATCAGATTCCCTCTAATTCTTCTGTTTTTCAGGAGAAAACAATTTCAGAAATATTAACACATATTATGATTGACAACTTTTTCATCCTAATTGTCATTCTAGTAGCCCTCCTCTGATGCCTTTCCAACAGTTTAGTGTCATTTCTAAGGAAAGGAGCCCAAGACTTAACACACTACTCAAAATGTGGCATAACTAATGACCTATACAATGACATTGTAACTTCTTTAGACTTGTATTCAATATTGCATGGATGGCTTAATATACTGATCAGAATTATATTCATAATTCAAATTGAAATATCCAACCTTACCTTGCATGTATTATATTTAAAAGCTATTTACCATTTATGAAGCCATGCTAACTATCCAACAAAATTTTAAAACTTATTTAAATGACTTTGCAAACCATCTTTTTACCAGACTTTCAATATTTTTTTCCATCACTGATGTAAAATTAATAGGTCTATAATTACAGGGACAGTTTTTATCACCTCCCTTGGAAAGATGAGTAACATTAACCTGCTGGCACCTAACTGCTTTTTAAGGACTTTGAAAAATAGTAGCAAGTGGCTCACATATCCAATCCTTAATCTTCTTCAAACGTGTTTTCATCTGGCAACTGTTCAGGATGAGGAATATTACTTAAATCTTATTAGTAAAAATTGAATAAAAAAGTAGAATTTAATAACCCAGCCATCCCATAATCATCAGATACTAGCTTTCCTACATCATTCCTCATTGGCCCTACTCCCATCTTAATATTTATTTACCCTTAATGTATTTGAAGAAGTCCTTACTATTAATTTTTACATTTTCAGGATAGAAGAAATAATAAATGAACAGTAAAGAAAACTATGACAAAATGAAATTACAATTATCTATCTCGCATCTTTTTGTAATTTGGAACTAAAACCTCATTATTCTTTATCTCCATATGCAGCAAAACATCAAATCTAATTGAGCAATGCCCACTAGCAACCAGATTTTCTTCAATTTCCACCTTATCAATCATTTCTTGATTAGAAGTTAATAATAAATCTAAAATAGCATTGTTCCCTAAACATTTGTTGAAGAAAACGATACTGAACAGTTTCTAAAACTGTTTCCCATAATTTGCACCTCATTATCAGTTGAATTCTACAACAAAACATAACATGCAAAATATGTACAGGTCACTGGTTTGGCCTCATTTGGAGTATTATTTTCAGTCTTGGGGTCCTTACTTTAGTGAAGCAATTGATATTTTTGAGGGAATTTTACAATTGCTTCAGTATTTTTAGCATCTTAAGGGCATTGAAGAAATAAGTTATAACAATTTTCTGAGTTTTTAAGTGAACATGTACATGAAGAAATGGCATAAATAAAAGACGCCTGTGTTACGAACTAAGGCCAAGAACTAGGAAGTGCAGCTAACTGGTTAAGTGGTATTGAGAATCACGAGTTAAGAGTTATAAAAAATGAAGCTACAACAGAGATGTTGAGAAAAATGCTAGCCACAAGTTTGACAGTGACAAGTTACCGATGCTGAGTTAGTGGTATGGTAAAGGCTACTAAAAAGTTTATGATAACATTTCAAATCGGCACTTTGATGCGAGATCTGTTACTCCAGACCAGTGTAATAGTACAAGTGAAAAGGCAACCGTAGCACTCACCATTACAGTAACCAATTACTTGAGAGTTTTGGTTCTTGTTTTGGACTAGCTCGGGAAGTTGCACAGATTGACCAGTAAAATGTTAGAATTATTTGCGGGTAGTTAGAAATACTATTTGGAAAGTTGAAAAAACACAAAGAAAATATGGTTTAAAAACTCATGTCTGGAGCTAAAAAATCAGAATTCTCTCCACGAAGAATTAAGTTCTCCCAGGGCTGACAAAAAGATCTCCAGAAGCTATCTCCAAGTAGTAGCAGTTATCTCCACTATGAACATGAATATCTCCAGAAATACATTGGTTGTAAGTATGAAAATTACCATCTCTTTTGGTCAATTAATGTAGTTATTGTTTATACTAGAGAGAGCTATTCTATATGTATTGAGTAATAGTGTTAATTAGTTAACTAAAAGGATGAAAAGTAAACTAATGATTTATTGAATGTTTAACTATTGATGTTAACAGTGTATACTTTGTGGAAAGACCTAATAAATGTTTTATATTTTGTTCAATGTTAGTCTTGGAATCTGTTTCTTTATTCTAACTGTCAGTTACCTTGATTTAGTGACTTGTGAGCTCCACTTGCCACTGCAATCCTCAACTAAATAAATTGGGTGTAATCGGCAGTATAATTGAAACTCCAACAATTAGCCCTGAGGGTGCCGCCCATTACATTAGAAAGGATATTGAATTGTTGGAAAGGATGATTCCTGGAATGGAAAGGTCGTCCCAAGAAGACAGGCTTGTATTTATTAACTTGTGTTTTAGGAAGATATAAATTTTGTATTCCAATTGTTTAAAAAGTTTTCATTTTTGACTTCTCTGGGTAGTTAATAAATGCATTTTTTTGTATTTCCAACCTGATTATAATGGCTATTTATTTGTGATTTAGACTGTTACACACTTAAGTTTTGGTAAAGTGCTGACCTCAACTAATACTTATAGATACTTGCTCCATAAGCTAATCACCTTGTTAGAAAAATGAAACTGTCTTAATTAAATAGAGCCTACAATATCTCTCAAAATATTAAAACTTGTGTCATTTCATTGTCTGCAGAATATAAAAGAAATCAGGGGCCTTTATCCTATTAATTCCCAGATAATATTGTAAATGTTAATAAGATCACCACTTACCATCCTTTTCTCAAGAGAAAATAAGATACGTTATCACACCTCAGATGAAAGGGTTATCTTGCAGGGATAGTTTAACATCTCTTATTTTGTATCTTGAGGGTAAGAAGTAATTATAGTTATGTTTATAAGATTATCTTGGGGATCGATAGGAAAAAAAGCCTGATTTCTTTGTCCTGTATTCTCAAGATTATAGAACAAGAGGACACAAATGTAAGATTTGGAAGTGACAGGCTAATTTTTATAACAAGGTGATTAACTAATGGAATGAGTTGGCATTGACAATTTACAAAAGTTTTTAAGAGGAATCAATGATTTCCTTAGAAATATAAGGTTGGGGTTAAATTTTTACTTTTTGTAAAGGGTGGATATGCAGGTTCCTTGCTGTCTGCATGTTGTGTATTCTGTTCAGTTTTTTCTGTGTGTTTGTAAATGGCCATTACCTAACCATTATTATTAAACAAGTGTTAACATTTTTAAATAAAAAAATTAATAAGTAGTAATGGGAACATCAAAAATAAAGAAACAAGGTAAGAATGGGTGGGATAACATTACAACACTTGGTGTTTTTTAACACTGTACAACCTCAAAGTGGTTGTGGCCATCATTCCACCCATTCCTACTTTGTGTGCTTTATGTAACTTGGTAATTGTTCAAACTAAATGAAAGGTTTATTTAGCTAAATTTCTCTTTTGTAAACTTTGTTTCAGGAACCAAGTACAGAAACATGAATGTAATCTGACTATTAAGGGGTGGGCCAAAAGAATAGTATCAAACTGGTGATGTTTGAAATTTTTGAATTTGTTTAGTATTTTGCAAGGATTAGCTACTGATAAAACTCAATTCAAGTCTATCACTGGATCAAAGTTTAAAGTAAAACACAAAATAGGAATGGGCAGAACAATAGCTACACCCACTTTGAGGTTGCACCTTGTCAAAAACCACCAAGTTTTGTAATATTATCCTGCCCATTTCTACCTTGTTTCCTTACTTTTTTGGTGCTCCCATTCCTTACTGTTTAATTTAACAATTTTTTACACTCGTCTCATAGCTGTTCCTGGTACTAAGTCTCGAGAGTCACTGGGCTTTATACCTATCCTTCTTGTAGCTTTTTTTAGAACTATCTCTCAACATTTCCTGGCTCTTGCTGATATCTTTGATATACTTTTTCTTCCATATAGCCAGAGTGCTAGTCTTTTCTTTGGCTGTATTATTAATTAGGCTTGTTTTGCATATTGAGCCTTACTGTTTCTAACCGTATCTCTATTCTTGCAGTAATTCTCTCTTGACTGGGACAAAACCTTTTCAAGGTTATCAACATAGGATTTTCTCCTTTTCTCTTGTTTTGTTACCTTGAAAGGTTGTTACTTGGCAACTCACATAGTGTGTTCATAATCATAGAATATGACTACTAGTGTATTGTTAGCTCGTTAGTAGTGTTGCAAAATGTTGATTGTTATTACTTATTACCAAGGTTATAAGTAAAACTAAGAAAACTGATTTTAGCCAAGGTAGCGTAATTCATTCAAATGTATTTAGATTTACATAAGATCAAGGTTTTAGTAGTAATGTATAGTTGCAACAGTTTTGATGCAAATGAAAACATTTTATTAGTTCTTTTCTCCACCTGAATGTTTACAGCGGTTTTGCTGGCCATCTTCTCAAGCATTCTTGACGTTTGTTAGTTTTTGTTGATTGTGCTGTATAATTGTGTTGTATTCAGTATAGACTACGAGAATGAGGTACCATGTGCCAAAACTTGTAATATTTTAGAATCACAGTTGATTAATATACAGTTGAAATTAACATTAATACTGTTTAAGTTAGTGTCTTACAGTGTATAAAAAGATTTTCTTTTTCACTGAAAAACATACATGTCCATACCTTTTTTTTACTATGTAAACCCAGTTTAGAGGTTATTCATTGTTGTATTACTGAATAAAATAACTAATCAGGCTGCCAAGTGTTAGTTCCCTACTTTACCAGCTGATAAAGTCCAGCATTATGTTTCAAGTAATGAGATGTCTTTAATGAGAATTACAAATTAAATAGTGTAAATTGTACAGGATGAACTGGCTTACTTTTAATGAAGAATTGTTAGTTAACAAAAATACAGGATTAACTTTTTCTTTTTTTTTCTGTGAAATGAAAGATTTTAGGAATGGGTGCCACAGGTCTATTAAGTTAAAAAGACATATGCAAAGCCTAGAGAAATTGGTTAAAAGGGTATTTCATTCATATGGGGGGTTCATTAAGAAAATGTAATGTTTATTACATTTATAAGAAGGATCTAAAATGCTTATTGAGATTTTTTCCAAGTTTCAGAAATGTTTACAAGAGGGTCATTATGTTTTACTTAGAAGTCTTGCTCATAAATTTTATTTATGTATTCATGCTAGTCTAATGTTAAGGGTGTTTGGATAATACTCGTTCACACTAGTTGTTTTTCTTCTCCTTTATTTCCAGCTGAACAATGGGTGATACATTACTGAACCCATGCTTTTCCTTTATTTCCAGCTGAACAATGGGTGATACATTACTGAACCCATGCTTCTCCTTTATTTCCAGCTGAACAATGGGTGATACATTACTGAACCCATGCTTCTCCTTTATTTCCAGCTGAACAATGGGTGATACATTACTGAACCCATGCTTTTCCTTTAAATTTTTTGATTAGTCAAAATTGGGTTCTTATTTATTCCAAGTATGTCTCACATTGTGTATTGGGAACTACCAAGAAATGGTCAACATTTGGTCCCTGCTGAAATGAAACAACTAAAACCTGTTGTTGCTATTGGACAAAGCACAAAAAATTCACATGTGTATGCATAAAATGCTGAATGAGATAACCAAGCATAACATCAAAATAAATTATAGATTTGGCCAGATAAATCTTTATTTATATTAATAGTAAGATCTGTTCATTTCCCACCCTAAAATCTTAAATATCTCCAAACCTTCTGAGGCAAATTATAAAAGGTTTGAAACTTTTCATTTTTATTACTTAGTGTTCTTAAATAACTTCTACTGTATTTTACTGTGTGTTTTCTAAGTATAGTTTATAATAAATTTCCACTGTATTATAAATGAAGACTAATTTGTTTACATATATACATCAACATAATTCACACCAGAATGAAAACTTATCACCTGAGTATTATGCATAGTCTTGGTACTTCCATTTTGAAACTTAGTTCTAAGAAATTATAGCACTCACAAACCTTGGTAAAGCTTCTTACAAACATAGAAGTTTGGATTCGATGATGAGGAACCCACTTTGAGACTAATAATGCTTGGAGACGGCTTGAATGAGTAATGAAGAAAAAACTTTAATATAAGTTTAACATAACAGCAAGTGTACAATGTTTTATCATCATCAGTTACTTTTTTTAAAAAAACAGGCTAGTTGGTGATCTAATTTTTGTTTGAGTTTTTGAAATTAGTCCAGTTCTTGATATTTGGAATTCGGGGTTGCTTTTTGGAGTTTTTTCTGCATGTTTTGGATAATACCTGAAAACTGGTTTAAGTTTTTTGATAACTTGATCTTCACAAATTTTGGAATTAATTTTGCAGAGCAGCACTGTGTGAAGAAGGAAATATTGTTTCTCCTTTTGATGATTTTTATATTCAGGTTACGAAGTTTAAAGATGGTTTCATGATTTATTTATGGTGGCGGATAGGTGAGAGAACATACTTAAAAAAAGTTATACGCGGAATAACAAAGATAAACATCTAGACTTACACAACCTCGATTAATCGCTATGATGAATTCAGATTCGATGACGAGGAACTCACTTTGAGACTAATAATGCTTAGAGATGGCTTGAATGGGTAATGAAAAACATTAATATAAGTTTAACATGACAGCAAATGTACAAATGTTTGAGGGGCAAAATGAACATTTAAATGTAAAAATTATGGGGTGTACATCTTTGGTGAATGCTTGTGAATACTGCAAGATAATTGCTTTCAAACACAAAATTAAAATTCGAGCACACTGCCTCCTAGTGTAATTTTTTCATACCAAAAGTTCATTGTGGACTAATTAGTTATATCCGTAGGTTTATACTATGTTGTTTTTCTATAGTCACAGGTTATGTCTTCATGATATGAGCCTGATATGAAGGCCAAATATAGTACCTGTGTAATTACTTATAAAAAAATGTTTAGTTCAAGCCCAGTTTTTAATGACAATTAAACACAATCTAATAATATTTAACACTTCCATATTCTGTTTGTAGCAATTCATTAAGTTCTGAAAGGGGTAGGTAAAATGAGGTCTAACATTTGTAAAAATAATTCATCTGTACTAGGGTGGGCCTTCATTATCCCAACATTCTAAAGATATAACTTATGATGTCACTGTGTGGTGTGGCATTTTAGATATTGAAAAAGCCAACAAGTGTTAGAGGGGAATAAAAAAACAGATTTTGTGCTCCTTACTTATCAAGTGATTCATTTAAAGGGTAAACTTGGACTACAGATTTGGAATCTACATACTCATGCAGAAATATAAAGAACATTTGTTCCATTGTTTTGATAGAAGATACGATCTGTTTTTGCAACAGGGATCAACTGATAATACATTGTTGAGCATTTAACAGATCAATAACAAAGTAGCATCTAATTTTTCCATACATGAAGATATATGTCTAAGTTTTAAAGTAATAAAAACAAATCAACAGGTAGTATTAATTGTACCAGAAGAAATTCAAGTACTAGTGTATTCACAGCTGTTACTATATCAATGTAAACACAAAGATATTTCTCCCTTTTATAATATTACACACTGATCACATGTTTTAACACCTTAAAACTGAGTGGATGCTAACAGCATCTGCCCAAAAATCCCAATTTACCCATCAGATGGTGATAGCTTGTAATAACATTTACTCTCTCTGGCTGAAAACTAATCCAAACCATGTTATGATCCACGAAATTAAGAAAATTGAAATTTTATAAGGTGTAGTAATAAGTATTGGGAAATCATGAAAATAATTCTGGCAGAATGTGCAAAAAAAGTATGCATTTAAAGGGTTAGATGAAGTTCAAACCACAAAATCATTATTTCATACAGTAGCATATACCGAACTGGATATATTTTAAGTATGTTGCTTGTTAATACAAGTAGAAAGAAAACAGTGGAACAATGGGTGATATGTGCAAACACCTACTGTTATTTGTTATTGTGTACATACACAAAAATATATAGAATTTTATTGAATTTCAGTTAATGTAACTAAAACATACATGTTAGAAATTATTTTTTTATGGTTTATTACACAATTTAACATATATATTTTCTCTAATAATATTTTTATTTGAAGTGGAGTAATGGAAGAAAGAACAGCACAAAACCTCTATGAATTGGTAAATCAGTAACAGTCACCATGTTCCCTCTTAAGTGTAGGCAATTCAGCTCTTTTAATTGTGCACAGTTAACTGTATAGATTTATACTTATTGTGTGATATTTGAATATAGTGTATGTGTTTCTATATATCTTGTAGTATGAAAGTATTTGTTTTTAATTTATTCTCTGTTCTGCATTGTGAAGCTAAGCTACTTTTGTTATTCTCTATTACTGCTTGGGGAGAATATTGCTCAGGACTACACTTTGTATAATGATGGTAACAGAAGTGTCCTCCAGTGGTTGTTCAGATGATATTTAGAGGTTGCAGCCTAACCTGTGTTGTAATGAGATTGACCAGTCACATGTGTGGTGCTATTTGCCCTGGAAAATGCAAGGATGTTTGCATGCTCTGGAATTTTGGAAGACCGTATTGTT